ATATACTAATTTTTATTTTTTTGGTTTTTCAAGACAGGGTTTCCCTGTGCAGCTCTGGGTGTCCTGAGCATCACTCTGTAGACCAGGCTGGCCTTGAACTCAGAGATCCACTTCTGCCTCCCAAGTGCTGGGACTAAAGGTGTGGGCCACCATCACCCAGCCATATCTTTTGTTCTTCTTTTTTTCATTTTTTTGAGAGTAGTAGAGTTTGACTTTAAACCAGTGGTCTTTCTGACTCCACCTCTGAAATGCCAGGATTACAGGCATGAGCAACCACATCCTGTGCAGTCCATGCCAGGGACCAGACCCAGGGCTTTGTGTATGCTAGGCAAGCATTTTCCTGATTTGGTTATAGCCCGAGTGCTTGCTTATTTATTTATTTATTTATTTATTTATTTATTTATTTATTTATTTATTTATAAGTGTGTGTGTGTGTGTGTGTGTGTGTGTGTGTGTGTGTGTGTGTGTGTGGTAGAGAGAGAGAGAGAGGGAGAGAGAGGGAGGGAGGGAGGGAGGGAGGGAGAGAGATGAGGCAGTGTCTCTTGCTGGGTAGCATAGGGTGGTGGGGAATTCCTTAATCTCCTGGCTTAACTCTCCCCAATTCTGAGCTCATGGAGCAATACGACCACACCTGGCCATAATGACCATGGCTTGCTTTCCTTCCCGGAAGGGAATCTCTACTTCTCTCCAGTTTCCTTCTCTGTCTCAGGAGATGAGCCCAGAAAGGATGAGGACTCATTGTTTTCCTACCACTCTGCCTCCTTTCAGGGTACCCAGAAGCCTGGGTGGTTAGGGTTTGCTCAACAGGTCTCATTAAGCCTCCAGAGTCCTAGAGAGATGTGTATTATTATTTCTGCAGGCAATCTGAATAATTGCATTACCATTATATTTCTTGTCATGCTCATCTGCCTTTGCATATTTATTTATTTATTTATTTATTTATTTATTTATTTATTTATTTATTTATTTATTTTCAGTCCTGGGGATGCAATCTAGGGCCTCATGCATGCTAGGGATGTACTCTGCCTTTGAACTACATCCCAGCCTTGTTTTGTTTTGAGACAGGGTCTTGCCTCAGCCTCCTGAGTGTTTAGGATTTTGGGCATCCAGCATCGTGATTAGTTTATTTTGTTAATATTTTTGAGACAGCAATCTTATGGAGCCCAGGCTAGCCTAGAACTTAATATGTAACCTAGGTCAACCTTAAACTCCAGATCCTCCTGCCTCTACCTCTGGAATGCTGAGGTTACAGCATTGTACTATCACAACTTTAGTTAACTAATTGAGTCACTATAAACCAGGGTAGCCACAGAATTAGAGATTCTCCTGTCTGTCTCCTTAATGGCATGTGCCTTTACATCCTTTATTTAGTTTTTATTATTTTGAGACAGGGTTTCAGGTTGCCCAGGCTGGTCTTGAACTTGTGAGCCTCCTGCCTCAGGTTTCTGAGCAGCTGGAGTTACTGAGCTACGAGGCCAGGCTTACCACACCCTTTTCTAGGTAAGGAAATTGAACCTTAACAGACAGAGATTAAATGATGGTCTAGGATTATGTAACTCTTAAATGGTGGTGCCTGGGTATTTGAGCCCCAGTGAAGGGAGAAAATGTGCCTGCCCAGGCCACCATGTCAAATCCCTTGGAAGAGAAGGAGAAGTAGGTTTTTTTTTAATTTTTTTTGTGGAGTGGGAAGTGATGGCAGCAGAGCAGAGGCTGGTCAGGTGGAAAGCTCTGCTCTAAGAAGACTGCTGGTTGATGTGTGTAGGATTTGAAGTGAGGACCCTGTCCAGACATGAGACTACAAGAGTTAGGTCTGACCCAGAGGCTAGCCAGGCTGGCCAGGAAGCTGTTTTTGCCCTGGGCGATAGGAAAGCCCCAAGCAGGGTGGTGACAGGCTCTGCTCTCCACTGTGAAGGATGTCCTTTGTTATGGATGGAGAAGGCATGAAGGCCAAGCTAGATGGATCTGAGAAGCATGTATGAGGTCACCGTGTGTGACCGGAGGAGGGAACTGGGTGCTCCACACCAGGCTGGGGTTAAAGCACAGGTAAATGAACAGAAGTGAGATTCGAAATATTGTCCAGGTGCTTGGGAATTGAACCTGGGGCCCCCTGCATGTCTGGTGAGTGCACTACCACTCAGCAGTATTCCCAGCTCCAAAGTTGAAAATAGGGGAGAAGCTGGGCGGGGCACACCTTTAATCCCAGCACTTGGGAGGCAGAGCCAGGCGGATCTCTGTGAGTTCAAGGCCAGCCTGGGCTACAGAGCGAGTTCCAGGACAGGCTCCAAAGCTACACAGAGAAATTCTGTCTCAAAAAAAAAAAAAAAAAAGCAGAAAATATAGGATTTGCTGGAAAATGTATGTATATATAATTTAATGGAACTATTCGTGGGGAAGAAAAGTTTACTGATTATAATATAAGGTGGCAGCAGACTGAGCAGTATATATAGTATAGCAGTAGCTATAATATTCCTGTAGCTCTAAATTTTTAATAATAATATTAAAATTTAAAATAATAATGTTCTTTAATTTTTCTTTTTTTCTTCTTTTGGAGACAGGGTTTCTCTGTAGCTTTGGAGCCTGTCCTGGATCTTGCTCTGTAGACCAGGCTGGCTTCGAACTCACAGAGATCTACTTGGCTCTGCTTCCCAAGTGCTGGGATTAAAGGCGTACGCGACGACCACCACCCGGCTAATAATGTTCTTTGAGACAGGGTTTCTCTACATAGCCCTGGCTGTCCTGGAACTCACTCTGTAGACCAGGCTGCTCTCAGTGATCTGTCACCTCTGCCTCTATTTCCAGAGTTCTGGGATTAAAGGGCATGCATCATCATGCCCTGCTGTTATTATTATTATTTTGAGACAAGGACTTACGATACAGCCCAAGCTGGGCTCAAACTCACGGGCTGAGAATGACTTTGACCTTCTGATCCTTCTGCTTCCCTGTGCCCAGTGCTGGGGTTCCAGCCATGGCTACCATGCCGTTTATGCAGTGCTAGAGACAGATCCAGGCTTCCTTTCTGTGGGCAAGCTCTCCTCCACCTGAACTATATTCCCAATCCTGTTTTTTTTTTTTTTTTTTCCCTCCCCTGAGACAGGATCTCATGTATTCAGTCTAACTTGGAATGCCTTGATCTGCCTGCTTCTAAAAAGTTTTGGTTTGAGTGTGTGAATAGAAAATGGTTCTCTCGATTGAGACTGGTGGCCATGATTGGATTTCAATAATTTTTACTTTTCTCTCTCTCTCTCTCTTCCCTTGTCCCATTGGGAAAACGTGTTGAGTGGAAAAAGTTTTGAAAGGGGCTTCTTTGGAACATTACATGTATAAGTCTGTAAGGCAGTTTTCAGGAATATTTTGAGAGAAGGCAACCTTGGGACACAGCAGTATTAGAAGAACAAACAGTTGTGCCTGTAAAGGGGTTAACAAAGTTGCCAAAGGGACAGATGTTCTTAGAATCAAATGGTGTTCTTAACCCAATCAAGGTTGATTTAAGTCAATCAAGTCGGATTATATCTCAGCCTCTATTTAAATTGAGCTTTACTTAGCCCCTCCCTTTTTGGTTTGCTGTAAAAACCAGCAATCACCTCTCCTCCTGTATTGTTCCGGGCCAGGTGGACTGGCAGGCTTCAGCTCCGCCTTCTCTCCTGAAAGGTAACTTCTGCCGTCTCCTTTTCCTTAACTTACTGAGCGTTTTCAAAATGATGACTTCCATTGGGTGGAAATCCAGGAAGGGAAAAATGGAGTGCCCTCCCTTGGCTTTGTTATCTCTCCTTAACTTAGTGCTTTCAGTCTTGGGAAGAGGGCTGCCCTGCCTCCCTCTCAGAGTCCTTTGTAGTTTGTAAATGCAGGTCCGGCTAACTTTTTCTGTTTCCTGCTGCCTGCAGTTTTTCTGGTTTTCCTGCCCTGCACACTGAGTTCTTTGGAGCGTGTGTTTCTGCTGCAGCTCCAGGGATTTCGTTTCCAAGTTGTTTCTCTGTAATCTGTTCCACAGTGAAATAAATACTTAGGAAAGATTATATTCCATCTGCACTTCTAATTAGGACTTAGTCTCAAAAAGATAATTCCTGTAGATAGTATATACAGCAAACCACGCTTGCCCTTGTTTTTGTAAGATTTTCGTATACAGGCAGGATCTGGATAGAAAATCAGATGTTAGTTCAAGGAAGAGGCCTGCTAGCACTAAGATGAAATCAGAGATAATGGTGTGATTTTTTTTTTTTTTTTTTTATAAGCGCACATTGGAAGTGTGTCTTGGGGCTGGGGGGTGGTGGCTGTTTTGGAACTGTGAAAAGGACGAGACATGGCTGAGGTTTGTCGGGTTCAGGAGGAGGTAGGATGGAGCCTGAGTTTGGGTACACGTGTAGATCCCAGCAGCAGGGACGGAAAAGCCGGCTCCCACTCTCGGTGGCTGTGTCCTCCAGCACCTGATTCCTTTGGAGGTAGCGCAGCCTGGGAAGTGAGTGAGTGATGGCGAAGCTGGGTTCCGCGTGGGCGGGGCCAAGGCCGTGGAGACCAACGTTCGATTTTTCAGTTTCCACTTCGCCCAGGAGTGGGGAGTTCTTAGCTGCTTATTACGAAACCAAACGTCCCTCGGATTCTCCTGTGACTTTCTGACTTTTAATTGTGTCTAAGGACCCACGCTTCCCAAATCAACGCGAGGCACGAGCCTCCGCACTCTAAGGCAGGAATTCGATCCCTCCACGTCCCTTAGAAAACACGGTGTGTGTGTGTGTGTGTGTGTGTGTGTGTGTGTGTGTGTGTGTGTGTTTGCAAGCCCAGCCGTCACTGGCAGAATTTTGCAACGATTTCCCAGTTTTGTTGGCACATCTCCAGGAGGGAAGGTTCTTTGTAATTCTTTGCTCAGACATCAGGATCACATACAAATCTCTAGCAGATAGAGCAGGGAAGGCAATTCTCTTTCAATTTTAAAGGCTACAACATAGTAAGTTTTTTTTTTATTGTCCCTTTTATTTGTGGTGGTGGGAGGAGGGGGAGGAGAAACAGTAACAGACCATCTGATGCCAAAATGGCTTAGAGAGGTGGCTTTGTGAGGGCATGGAGGAAACCCCCCCCCTTTTTCTTGCTCTGAAAATAACTCAGTAGCTACAAGGTCTGAGAGACCGAGTCTCATTGTTCTTAGCCAAACGATTATTTGTCAAAATATTTGACTGTTTCCCTATTGCTGCTGCGAAGTTTGGACTTCTCTTTATGCTCCATCTCCACACTAAGATTTTTAAGTCTAAGCACTATTGTGTTTACAGTATTCAAGGCTTCAGAGTGCAAAGGTTATCCATTAACATGTAGACTGAGGCTACACTTCGGTTTAGCCTCAATCTCCATCCACTTTACTTGCTCAGAGTTTTCTTTGTTTGTGTCAAAGCTTGCCCCCCCCCATCGTTTTTTGGGACAAAGTTAAATGAAGTCTACTGCTTATGAATGTTTGAGCTGTTGCGTGTAGAGTGTGAATATTTATATGGCTTTAACCAATACTTTAAAGAAAGATAATAATTTGTCGTGAGAGAAGGAACCGTAGTACTAAAAATGATCGATATCTTATGGACTTGAATGAGAATCAGGGCTGGCTTAAGGATCTACTTCCAGCGCTGCTAATTAATTGTGAGTAAGTAATTGATTCACTTCCTTTGAAAAAAAGACTAACGAGACCATATGTGGGTTGGTAGTTATGTAAAACGACAGCAAAAACATTCTACAAGGCAGATTCTTGTCCCTTGATAAGCTGGCTTCTTGAATTCTTCCTATTTATTAAGGACTGCCTTGCTTACCAGTTCCGGTCTTTTTTCCCCGCCCCCCCCTCCGTTCTTTTGATTTAGAAAATGGGTATCAATGCTTTATTGATGTTTTCCCAATTTTTGACACACGGAGGGCCAGCTTGAAAAAGAAACAAACAAGTTGGCCTTTCTGTGTGAAGCAATAGATCTATTCTATATTTGAATTCATTTGCATTTTGGAGCAGAAAAATTATTGGATGTGATTTATGGCCGCCATAGTTCCTCCCTGGGGCTTCCTTAAAACAGGGGGCATCTGTCCCAGGCCTTTGGAGTCATAACCTTTTCCTGTTTTCTTTCATCTTTTCTATAAGTCGGGAACAAAACGGTAGGGAGACGTCTTAAGTGAGTTGGGCGTAAAGCGGGGGTGGGGGGTTGGGGGTGCTGTCTTCTTTTTTGTTTTGACCCTACTTTTAAGCCTAGTTCCACCCAAGTGAATTTCTATGCAAACTCAGTAGATTTGTGGTACCAAATCCAAATTCAGACGTCAAATTATAATAGAAACGCAAGCCCAGGGTCTTAAGGAAAAAGACAATTAGCTTTATGAAGATACTAATTTGGAGAAATTTAATCCTCTTATCTCACATTGAATCTCTGGAAAGTGTTTTCCTTTTCCTGAGCACCGCTATCCTGTAAGCTCCCCAAAACCAGTGGCAAGTTTTTTTTTTTTTTTTTTTTTT